TACTATACTATACTATACTATACTATACTAGGGGCTATATACAATACTATACTATACTGTACTATGGTGTACTATGCTAGGGGCCATACACTATACTATACCATACTGTACTATACTATACTATACTATACTATACTAGGGGCTATATACTATACTACACTGTACTATACCATACTAGGGGCTATATACCATACTATACTACACCACATCATACTAAACTATGCTGTACTATACTATACTGTGCTACTACTACTATACTATAAAATATAGTATACAAGTATGGGTTAGTCGGCACTACTGACCAGATGTTCGTGGCTAAACGGTTAAGTCTTAAACTACTGGCATGAAATCCCCCCGGAGCTTCGTGAAGAATGTCTTCCCTGGGATTTCCAATGAGGAAGAAACAGCTGTTGAATGCTTCTCGGCTATTCAGCTTAGACTGACTTCAGTGGAATGTCAGGATCTCCATTGCACTTGATCTGCGACTTGTACAAAATGACCAACGCGCTCGCTGCAAATCTACTCATCCGAAGCCACATCCACCTTCATGGTGTCATGAGGAAATATTCTATCACGTGAATTTTTTTCCACTCGAAAGCAACATGAGTTAGGAGAGCGGTTTCGTGACCGGTGTTCAGACCTCGATAGAAGCAAGAACATTGTTCGGGAGTTTTGGAACCTAGTCAAATGCAACGTTGATGACAATGCAGCTGATCTCCACTCGAATAACAGTTTAAAAGAGAAGCACTTTCAAATCTGTGCAATGGGATAGAATCGCCTCTGTTTGCTTTATAACCTTGTTTTGAAACACTTGTATGTGTGAGCAGTTCTATCTTCCGTTGAATAAACTGGCTCCATTTTTCATCGGGTTGGTAAAGTTTTGTGGAACTATTAGACTGATTTAGTATTAGGGATGAAATGATCTTCATTCACTCGTGTGTGTTAAATATTCGTCTTTTAACAGCCTCGAGTTAGCTGGATTCGAAATCGGCATGGTTCTGGGGTGGGTGCCCTTTCAAAGATGCTTGTTCCCGATATACTTCCCACAAGTGTAACCAAGGTAAGCACACACGGGACACCAGTAACTATTTAAAGTACTATTTAATTCCCCTATTGACATGCCGTTACGTTGAATATTCATTGTTACCGTGTCTGTCTTGATGTGATCCAAGTAATGAGTAAATTGCAATGAACGGACGGATTGAGATAACATGTTTTAGCAGCTGACCACTACATTCATCCACAATTTACCGTTCGTGTATATTTTCAGACAACATTAAGGCTGATTTCACTCCTTTTGGTTGATGATGCAATCGGCATTTGTGAAAGCCATTGTCTAAGATTGATCGGCTTGTGAAACAAAAACGTGGAATTCTATTTTTCATTGGAACCGCGGTCTGACGCAACAATTCTCTGATAAGTGTGTCATACAACAATTTGTTTAGCTTAGCAACCTTTCGGTTACTCGGGATGAAATGAGGATGACGTAGATGCATTATTCTAAGTGTCGATTTTCATTGACAGTCAACCGCTATCATTCATCAAGCCAATATAGCATCTTGAACCAAAGGACTGCGGCGGTTTTTTTATACCTGACGATTATGAAGAACGACTAATTCGCCGCGCGGAATATCTATAAATCCCCAAGTTTGTCTACAATAATATAGTCATTCCAGTACAAAAGAGTGTCAGGGGCTAGGTGGAATCGTCTTTGTTTCCAAAACTGTAAAATCCAGGAGGGTAATGAGTTGAAGTCCGCCTCAAGTCCACCGAATCGGTTCTAAAGCTGATAACGGGATCGCCGAACAAAATACCGTGTGATCTTTGTAATTCTCTGGTTTTAACCCTTCGTCAACCGCGCTGTAACTTGATGCTGCCGGCATAAATGATGTAAAGGTGCGCTCACGAGCACATAGTAGGAATTCATTCCCGAGTGATACGACCCTGTGTACTTGGTAAACATGCAGGGTTCCTGTATGGTCAGGTTCACTGCCACGGTACGACACATCCGAATGATTTCCTCAGTCCTATTCATCGGATTACGGTAATGTAGGACACGCCTCTCAGTAACTCTAGGGATGTTGGAATATTAGTCGCTTCGGTGCATTCACTGGGGGGTTGATCACGTGACACTTGATCTGCCCGCCAAAACTGACAAGCAACTTGCACGACTTGACTTACAAGTCGATTGCCAAGCTCGGTGAGTTGGAAATTTCCTCGTCACTGTCACTCTCATTTTAATTTAACCTGCAAGGAGCCGAAAGCAAAACCATGAAAAGTTTTTATTTCTTGCGGAAGAATACCTCCAAACTATCTGTATGGTGAGCTCGCAGTCACACAGATCATCAAACGTGGAGGCTTATATGAACAAATGTGCACACGTATCTATGGTTAATGGACTAGCCAAACCGCATGATACCGTCAGAGCTGACTATCATTCATGGAGCATTGATATAAAGAATAATCATTCAGCTGTAACACCCTTTCGGTGCCTAGCTGCCATGCCACCCGAATGAGGCACGAGGGTTGGGATACTGCCAGGTTTCCCAAGCCTAGACAGGGGAAGTCGAAAGGCAGAGGTCGCGTTCGAACCACGGACCTTCCGGTCACTAAATTTGTGTTCTAGCCACTGAGCCATCTCGCCCCCTCTTGAAGCATTGTTCGGTGCTGGACTATGCTGAACTCGCGAAAAAACTATTTTTAAGACCGGTAAGTCGACTTTTAAGGTCAGAACGTCTAGTGACCGACCGTCAAATCCAAATGTTTGAATTTTCGTCTCCAGAAGTGGCTGGGTCAACTCATACCACATTACTGTGTTTCCCGAGGTTTTCAATCCCTGACTCGGAGTTAGAAACACTTACAATCGATCTTTCTCAAACGAGCTGATGTTCACTTCAATCTCAACGACAGAATAAAACTAATCATTCTGCTATACCACCTTTTTGGTGTATGGTTGCCATGCTATTGGGGCTGGGATCATGTCGGGTTTACCAGGACTACATTTGAGCAGTCGAGATACTAGGGTTAGGTTTGAGCCACAGACCTTTCGGCCAGTATGTCCGCACCTTAACCCATGAGGCTTCTGGTACTCTTCAGTCTGGGCGAGATAAAATATAAGCGCACATTAATCGGACAATAAATATGGACCCATTTGTAGTGCGACTTTTAATAAAGGATGACTGCTATTGGATACTTGGCGAACAAGCTGACGGCTTAAAAACGAACATGAACAGATAACCTATGAAGGCTACGCCACTGTAACTAACAGTGAAAAGAACTCGAGAGTTTAATATCGGTCGCAAGCGGATTCCAAAGTGTTCTTCAATCAAATCAGACAACAAAAAATGAGGACTACTTGAAGTTTAACCAGAAGTGTGCCAAACAAGTGCCAGCTGCGTTCGTAGCATGTTGAAGGCCCTAGTACATCAAGCGATTTCATCATATTCAACAAGAGAACTCTCATAAATGGAAATTCATAGCCGCGGAATGGCTACCAGTTCATGGTACAGAATAACTGATTTGTTACAATCTAACTAAGTGACTGCTAGTACATCGAATGCCTTGTTGTTCTGATGTCTCCCCTAGGAACATCGTGCGTCCACTACGCCGTGATATTATCGGGAGCGCCTTTCCATGCTCATCTTTCCTACTCGGAGTGCGTACAGTCACTTGAATGAGTTATCTAGGTGTTGATCGGCCCCTCATGGCCGGATGGTTTAGCCGAAATGTTATGAGTCCGGACCCCTTTGGAAATTCGTGAGATAAACACTATAGAGGAGCCCTAATAAGGATAAAACAGCTTTTCAGTAATTCTTGGCTTCATTTACAGGAAGAAATTTCGGGTCGATTGAATTTAAGTCACAATTCTTTCTTAGGACTGCCTGAACGCGTTCAAATTCATAATTTTTTGAGGTCTCTTTCGAACCAATTTTGTACGTCCTATTTGTTAACAAATTTAAAAATGCTGTTTCTGAGTTGATTGATTGAGTGATAATTTTGCTACTGATCAAAACAAGTCAGTTTTTGATACCTCGATGCATTGAAACGTTGTTGGTCGCCGGTCTTGTTCATGTATCAATGATACAACATTGCACAGCGTAGGAAGAGGTCCTCCTCGTTTGACCACAAGACTATTTATCAGCTACTTGCCTGTACCAGACACGGCGCTGGTATTCAAGTAGTTAGGTGAACTTCGACCTCAAATTACCCAGCGTCCGATTGGTTGGCACGCCTGCGTGTCTATCGTTCAATATATCAGAGGACTGTTTTTGGGATGACAGGACATGTAGCTCACTTGTTTGCTTACCTGCCATGGAAGTGGACCAGTTGGCCGCGTGCACACAGTACACCCGTATCCTTACCTACCTGTTTGTTGACTTACTTTCAACTCACAATACTGGCGACTGGTCTGACGAACCCATCTTACCAAATGTTCATCAGAAATCCTGAGAAATTTACTGCTACTTGGAACCGACAAGTGGAACGGGTGAATTGTTACTTTCTGACAAACGAGATCTTGGACGGCAAGCGAAAAGTGAATATAATTCTTACGCTTTTGGCTCGGAAACATACCGCCTGATACGCTCCAGATTTACCAAATACGAAACTTTGCGACAATCTTGTGTCTATTGTTTCTAAGCATTACAATCCTAAACCTTCCATTGTCGCCCAGTGATTCAAGTAAAATACATCAGTACAAAAGGAAGGAGAATCTATTGCGGATTTTGTGGTGGGTTTATGGAACATTGCAGGACACTGTGATTACTGGAATTTTCGAAACGATATGCTCAGAGATCGTTTAGTAGGTGATGTGAGAAACGCTCGCATACACCAATGTTTGCTTGCTGATAGTAACTTAATTTTGGATACTGTGGTGGCGCTGGAAGCAGCAGAAAATAACGCAACCTTGTTACAATCTGTGCAACCTACTGTGACATCAGAGGCGGTGGATTCGTCGTCTCATATGAATCAGATACAGCATTCATCGGACAGACCGCAATTTAAGTGTTATGGTTGTGGAGGCCGTCACACTCACCCGAAGTAATACCGGCACATGCAAACTGTTTGTGATCGGTGTAAGAAATGTGGCCGTTTCGCGAAAGTGTGCCGCTCAGCACCAGCGTTCGAAAGTAACTCTGTTGTTACGTATCAAGTTACAAGGTCAGAAATCCCGGAATATGTACTTCGTGCAAGTGTTCCCACCAACCGAGTCTAACCGCCGTATCACGTAGAACTACAGGTGAACAGTGCGCCAATGGTTTTTGAGCTGGATACTGGTAGTTCCGTTACATTACGCAGTGAGAACTCATGGCAAGACAAGCTGGGACCGACCGAGAAAGGTGAACTTCAGCACTCCCCAGCCCGGCTTCGAACATATACGGGAAGAGTGGTGAAGTTGTTGGGGGCGGAAAACGTGAATGTTTCGTGCAAGGGTGTGACGGTGAACGAAACCATATTTTTTTGCTGAAGGAAATGGTTCGAACCTGTTAGGACCTGACTGGCTACAACAATTACCCATACTTACGTTAAACCAGGTCTCGACACTCCCTGAGGTTCAATCTCTCATCCGCAATTATGAAGAAGTATTTTCAGAACCAAAGACTGGCAAGTTTCCCAGGGGGAAGGTGAATATATACGTTCCGCCGGGAAAACAGCCGCGTTTCCTAAAGGCTCAGTCACTACCTTACTTGCTGCGTCCAAAGGTCGAAGAAGAACTTAACCGTTTGCAGCGTGAAGGAATAATTCAAAGCACGGAGTTCTCGGAATAGGCTACACCAGTTGTACCAATGCTGAAACCGGACGGCACACTTAGAATCTGCGGTCAATACGAGCACAACTGCAGAACATCACCAATTACCTCAAACCGAAGACGTTTACGCACAAATTGGTAAGAGCAGATATTTTTCAAAACTAGATCTAGCTCGTGCTTACGAGCAATTGGAATTAACGGAGGAAGGGAGACCCGTTACAACTATCATTACTCATAGAAGATTGTTTATGTTTAATCGCCTTCCTTTTGGAATCCACTCCGCTCCATCCATATTTCAACGCACAACTGGA